TGTCCTACGTCTGCACTCTGACAGTGGTGGTGAGTTTTCCTCCGACCTCTTGAGGGCCTTCTGTCAGGGGGAGGGCATTGAGCAGTCGTTCACGCTTTTGGCCTCTCCTCAGCAAAATGGGGTTGCTGAGCGCCGCATTGGCTTAGTCATGGAGGTCGCTTGTACCTCCCTGATCCATGCAGCTGCCCCCCATTTTCTGTGGCCGTTTGCGATTCGATACGCTGCGCATCAGCTCAACCTCTGGCCCCGTGTCTCCGTTCCACAGACCTCGCCGACACTGCGTTGGACCGGAGAGGTTGGCAATGCGTCGATGTTCCGGGTCTGGGGATCTCGTGCTTTTGTCCGTGATACGTCCGCGGACAAGCTCTCCGCCCGCGCTGTTCCCTTTGTCTTCCTTGGCTTCCCCCCTGATGCGCCTGGCTGGTAGTTTTACCACCCCACCTCGCGCCGTATCTTCCCCTCTCAGGACGTCACTTTTGACGAGTCGGTACCCTTTTATCGTCTTTTCCCCTACTGCACTGCCCCGCTTCCCCCCCCGCCGCTCTTCCTCACCCCAGGTGTCCCTTTGGTAGACCCCCTCTCTCCCCAAGGTCCTGATCCCTAAGGTGTTTCCCAGGTAGACCCGGTCGAGCCTGTCGAGGTAGCTGTCGACTCTGGTCCTACGAGGGGTACTGAGCCTGGGGGTGCTAAGACTGGGGGTGCTGAGCCTGGGGGTGCTGAGGCTGGGGGTGCTGAGCCTGGGGGTGCTCAGACTGGGGGTGCTGGGACTGTGGGTGCTGAGCCTGGGGGTGTTGCGACTGGGGTGCTGAGACTGGGGGTGCTGAGGCGGGGGGCTCTAAGACTGACCGTATTGCGCCTGGTGGCGCTCCCTCTTCACAGCAGCTGCGTGAGTGGTACTCTCAGCGTTGCAGCCTCCGGCGTGGGGATGCTGGAGCTAGGGGTTCTGCCGGAGTTGGAGCTGGTGGTGCTGCGGGTGTCGTGTCGCGACCGGAGCCTCCCTCCCCACAGCGGCTGCGTGAGTGGTACGCTCGGCGCTGTAGTCTCCGGAGCAGCGCTCCTAGCGCTGGGGTGCCACCCATTAGAGGCCCTTGTGCTGCTGGAGGTGCTGGAGCCTCTGGTCCTGGAGGTGCTCGTACAGGCGGTACTGGAGCTGCTGGGACTGGGGGTTCTGCTGGAACTGGTGCTGGAGCTGCTGGAGCTGGTACTGCTGGAGGTGCTGCTGGTGCTGGAGCTTGTGGTGGTGCTGTTGGAGGTGCTGCTGGTGCTGGAGCTGCTGGAGGTGCTGCTGGTGCTGGTGCTGCTGGAGGTGCTGCTGGTGCTGGAGCTACTGGAGTTGCTTCGGGAGTTGGAGCTGGAGGTGCTGGAGCTACTGGAGCTGCTGGTGGTGCTGCGGGAGTTGTAGCTGGAGACCCTGGGGCTGAGGGTGCAGGTGCTGTCTCTGTTGGTTTAGGAGGTGCTGCGCAGCCGCGGCCCTACTACGTTCCGCTCCTTGAGCAGGTTCTTGGCCTCCCGCCCTCTACTGGTACTACTCCTCCCCTACTGAGTCCACCGCCTGTCCAGTCGCAGTCACAGTTACAGCCTGCCTTTCCGCTTCCTGGTCCTTCTCCTTACGCTGGGCCGACTAGAGGTCTTACGGTGCGTCGTGAGCCTGAGCCTCGTCCTGCGTCGCCAGAGTCGCCTGTCCGCGCTGGTCGTCGTGTTCCGCGTGAGCGTCCTCCTCCTGTCCCTGGCACTCACTATATGACTCTGCATCCTTCCACTGCTCCACAACATGTCCCTCTAACGTCTCCTCCTGCGTCCTCTCTTCCTGACGGTCCGCACCCGAAGTCTGACTCCCTTCGTGCTACCAGTCCTACTGTCACGCGTTTCCTCGCCACTGTTGTCACAGACTCTTCTTTTGAGTCCACTGCTGCGTCTGCTCTAGTCGCTGAGCTTGTTGACTTTGCTGTCGCCTGTCGTCTAGACTACGCCGCTAGCCTTGTTGCAAAGTCTGAGTCTGAGTCTGTCTGTCCTCCGTCCGTCGAGGGTGAGTGTGCTCTTGGCACGGACGTCCTTGAGGACAGTCAGGAGGAGTTTGAGTGCTTTGTCGCTGCTTTACCTCATCTCGTGTCCATGCTGATTGCCCCTGAGGGAGACTCGGATGCACCAGAAATCCCAACCCCGCGCTCTTACGCAGAGGCGATAGAAGGTCCCTACTCCTCTGAGTGGCAGTCAGCCATGGACGCAGAGATGGCTTACTGGAAGTCCACAGGCACCTATGTCGACGAGGTTCCCCCCCCTGGGGTGAACTTTGTGACTGGCATGTGGATTTTCAGGGTGAAGCGGCCGCCGGGTTCTCCGCCTGTCTTGAAGGCGCGTTACGTTGCACGAGGCTTCAGTCAGCGTGAGGGAGTTGACTTCTTCCAGACATTCTCTCCTACCCTGAAGATGACCACTCTTCGGGTTCTGCTGCACGTCGCCGCTCAGCGTGACTACGAGCTCCACTCTCTTGACTTCAGCACTGCTTTCCTGCAGGGCAGCCTGCACGAGGAGATCTGGCTGCGCCGCCCACCTGGATTCACTGGGTCGTTTCCTCCTGGTGGAGCCTCCGGCGGCCAGTCTACAGTCTCCGCCAGGCACCCCGTGAGTGGCACGACACACTGAGGACTACTCTTGGTGCTCTTGGGTTTGCTCCTTCTACTGCCGACCCGTCGGTGTTTCTACCCACCGACACCACTCTCCTGCCGTTCTACGTTCTCGTGTACGTAGACGACTTGGTCTTTGCTACTGCTGACACTGAGGCACTCGCCCACGTGAGGTTGGAGCTGCAGAAGAGACACACATGCACAGACCTGGATGAGCTGACAAGCTATCTTGGATTGCAGATCACCCGGGACAGAGCATAGCGCACCATTACCCTGACTCAGTTACACATGGTGCAGCAGGTCCTTCAGCGCTTCGACTTCATGTACTCCTCGCCACAGTCCACTCCTCTGCCTACAGGTCACTCGCTCTCAGCTCCACCTTCGGACGAGTCCGTAGAGCCGAGTGGCCCGTATCCAGAGCTTGTGGGCTGCCTCATGTACCTGATGACCTGCACTCGACCTGACCTAGCCTACCCTCTTAGCATTCCAGCACGCTATGTCGCTCCTGGCCGACACATGAAGGAGCACATGGATGCTGCTAAGAGGGTGTTGCGCTACTTGTGCAGTACGTCGGGCATGGGGCTCATGCTTGGAGGACGGGCTCGAGTTATCCTCACTAGTCACGCAGACGCTTCTTGGGCTGACGACTTGGCTACACAGCGGTCGTCACAGGGTTACACCTTGAGCCTTGGCTCCGGTTCTGTCTCTTGGCGGTCTACCCGCTCGTCTTCTGTTCTTAGCTCCAGCTGTGAGGCTGAGATCTACGCAGGGGCCATGGCTGCTTAGGAGTTACGCTGGCTCACCTACCTGCTGACCAACCTAGGATAGCCGCCACGTTCTCCTCTAGTGCTGTACATTGACAACAAGGCCATCATTGCCTTGTGTCAGGAGCACAGACTGGAGCATAGAACGAAGCACATCGCTCTTCGCTACTTCCTTGCTCAAGAACTGCAGCAGCGTGGTCAGCTTCGTCTCGCTTATGTGGCCACTCGGGCCAACACTGCTGATGTCTTCACCAAGGCGCTTCAACCTTGTGATCATCAGCGTTTCTGTACTGTTCTCGGCCTTGTACCTACTGTGCCTCACTTGCTTATTTCCTGACTCTGCTTGTACTGTAATCCTTATATATGTCTACCTGCATCTTTACACTTGCTAGGTTGTGATCACTGTATTTCTTGTTGTATTATCAACCTGCATGTGAACTGGTCTTGTGACCGCTTGCTTGTGCTCGGAATTTGTGTGGTATCCTTGAGATCCACCCTGAACTGTGCTTTGCTTTGCTTTGTTTTGATTGGTCTTGTGACCATCTGGTTGTCTCCCACTTAGCCTATGGGGGTGTGTCAAACATTATATATGTTACTATTCTGTAGGCTATAGTGGGTTTAGCCTTAGGGGGTACAACATTCTAGGTTTTCCTACTTGTACTCCCAATGCTGTTAATTCCTCTCATTCTGACACTAGGTGCCACAAAGTATCACAAACTGTTACGAACATAAGCGGTATTAACCGTGTGAACCGGATTTCACCCAAAATCTCTAAATGTTCACTAATAGCCACCTATATACTTACAGATATATGTAGTTTCTAGCTCATTTAAAGTCCTCAAACATGAGTAATTTAGATAAATTATACTTATTGGTCTTAACTATAACGTAAATCTTTCCATTTATCACTTTCTTCTTAAACAATAAATTATTGCAAAAATTGTCATATCTATGGTAACGGAATATACGATTGATACCGAGTTAAAAAACGTGACAACAAATAATGTAGCAATGAATGATAGGTATGGACGATATATATTGCTCACATGTTTGCATTGTTTAATTCATGTTGAGAGAGAGAGAGAGAGAGAGAGAGAGAGAGAGAGAGAGAGAGAGAGAGAGAGCGAGAGAGAGAGAGAGAGAGAAAGAAAGAGAGAGAGAGAAGAGAGAGAGAGAGAGAGAGAGAGAGAGAGAGAGAGAGAGAGAGAGAGAAGACCTTAGCATTCAGCCCTCTCCCTCTTCCCTCTGCCCTCTCCCTCTGAGCCTATTCAAGGGGCCCTCTGTGCCTTCCCTGCCTCATTATTTCGTAGGTGTTTCATTTTCGTCGGCTGAGAGAGAGCGAGAGAGAGAAGACCTTAGCATTCAGCCCTCTCCCTCTTCCCTCCGCCCTCTCCCTCTGAGCCTATTCAAGGGGCCCTCTGTGGCTTTCCTGCCTCATTATTTTGTGGGTGTTTCATTTTCCTACGCTCGCGCCGGCGGCCTTCGGCCGCGCGCTCCTAGTGGCAAGACACAAAACGCGGGTGCGGCTTATAAAGGGCACACACAAACAATATAGCAAAGGAGCAGGGCAACAGCAAGAGGCGCGGCATGCAATTCTACACGCGACGGAAGCCTACATCGTGTACGGCTCCGCCCCCTCCATCTCCAACATCGAGCGCATGCATGCCGACATTGCAAGAAGGAGATGCGCCGACGACTGAAGAGTGCCCACGGGGGTCCCAACTCGAGTTGCCTCTACAAGATCCCCCACGTGGCGGGGGAAAGTATGCGCTAAGGGTGCTACCCCGGCGGGCGCATCCGACACGGGTGCCAACGGCGACTCGAGCGATTCTGCCAAAATCACGCAGGATCCTCGGGATCCTGGACCGTAACTGTTCGGAAAGTCCCGCGTGGCCGCACACACCGCCAGCTGCAAGTTCGCCACCGCCTCGCACGCCTCCGCCACATTCAGAATCCTGCACATGGTCAGCATGGGGTCTCTCCCTGCGTGACTGGGGGGATGTGCAGTCGGCGCTTCGCGAGGAAACGCCGCCGACCAGCCAGGAGTCCGGCCAACAGAGAAGCGCTGCGCGGAGAAGCCGGGGACTTGGCGAGGGGTGCGGAAATGAGCCCGCACCTCCCGCGCGGGCTGATATTCGCGCAACGTCGCCGCACGCATAGGAGCCACCTGGCCAGGGTCCGCAGCGAAGGGAGGGCCGTTGGTCACCTCAATGTGTACGTGAGTCGGCTCCCCTCTCGCCCGCGCCTGACGCACAACCTCCGCAAACGCACTCGTGGCTTGATCAAGGGCAGGATCCTGCCCGCGACCGTTTTCGCCACGCCCACCACCATTCTGCCGGCCCCGTTGGCCTCCGGAACCGGCCGAATGCGGACGCGGAGGGGACTGCTCGCGACGACCCGTATCCCAGCGACGCCCAGGTGACCCCTCCCCCGCGTCGCCGGAGATCGCCGCGGAGAGCGTTGTGCGGGGGATCGCGCTCGAGGTGAGCGCTGGCCTTCCCGACCACGAGGAGATGGGCGGCGAGGTGAACGAGGACGCGCAGGGGACCGCTGATCGCCTTCCTTATGCTGATGAGTTTCGCGATGCTTAGGAGAGGGTCGGCGAGGAGAGGGCTGCCGCGGAGGCTGACGCGGAGGCGAGCGCCCGCGCTCCTGCCGCGGCTGTCCTTCCGGGCGGTTCTACGCAACGCGCGCAGGGGCCCACGAATACTCCGGCGAGGTGGGGCGCGCAGCAGGCCGATGGGGAAGAGTTGCCACCCGCTCGAAGTGGCGGACGGGCTCGCTTGCGGAGGGGTGCGCAGGGACACGCGGGCGAAGCCCAGCAGGCGCAGGCTCCGGCAGCGCGCTCTCCGGATCCCGTCGCGCGGATGGATCCATCACCCTCGACAGCACTGCAGCGGACGCCAGCGCGCCGGCCAATTGAGATCGCGGCGGACGAGGCGCCCCAGACAGGGCACGTGGGAGCTGCGGGTGGAAGAGGAATGCGGGGAATACGCGCCGGACGCGGCAGCAACCGCCGCGGACGCCGTGGGAACGAGAGAGGACGAAGAGGTGGAGGAGCACGAGGCTCAAATCGGTGCCGTACCGGCGCAAGCGGATACGTGAGAACTGCAAAAAGGCTAATGCGTGAAGGCGCGGAAGGCGGCAAGGAGGCGCCCAGCGAGGAGGCAGAGGACGATGTCGTGAATGAAGAAAGCGAGGGGGTGACCTTGCTTTTAACCCAGAAAGAGAGGGGATGTTAGAAGCAGAGGCCGAGGAGGACGAGGAAGAGTTGGAGCTGCTGCTTCAGGGAGCGGAGTTCCCAAACCAGCAGGCCAGGCGAACCTGCAAACCAAACCACCGGTCGAAATCGAACTGCGGGGGGAAATCAAGCAAGGAGGGGAAATCGAGCCGCGACAGAAGATATAATTGACTCTGCTACAGCCAATGAAAATTCTGTAGCCCCGAACCCAACCTCCCCGATGCTCAAACCGGACGACCTGGCGAAAAATACAGAGCTGTTCGCCCAGGTCGCAGACTGGGACCTTGACCCGTTGCGCGATAGTCGCCAACCTCCTCTCGCTTGCCACCCCCCTAAAGACCTTCGCGACTCCTTCGCGATCTGCATGTTGACACCGTTACTCCACCTAGCGGCCAATCCCGAGTCTCCGCCAGGGTGGAAATTACTGACCTTCTCCCGCACATACTCCTCCGCACCTCGTCAGCCCGTAAACCTGACTAGAGCGCGATGATGAATCGGCTCCAGCGTTTTCGCCAAGGGCTCTGGGTGGACCTATACGAAGAAGCTGTCCAGGCGATTTCACTACCACCGCAGCCTCGGCACGCACCTGACACAACTGGAATAATGGCAAGGGCGGAAGGACTGGCAAAACGGGGTAACCTGTCAAAGTCACTTCAATCCCTCCGCGCCACTCCTGTGTCTCCTGCCTCACCTGAAGTGTTGGAAGCCCTCGCGACGAGACATCCTTCTGCCACCCAACTACTCCCTGACTGGCTCCACACCGCCACGGCGGAAGACCCACCCACTATCGAAGCCCTCGACTTCAGGCGCCTCCTCGCCAAGCTCCCCAACGGAGTAGGGGCCGGCCCCTCAGGAACCACTTTCGAGCACATCCGCGACGCAGCCCTGGGGAATGCCGAAGTACTCACCCACCTCCTTGCCCTCTCCAACACGACGCTAGCAGGAAAACTCCCCACAGTTGCGGGGGAACTACTCACGGCCTCCCGCATGTTAGCCTTTACGAAACCCCAAGGAGGGACGCGGCTGATAGCGGTGGGGGAGTGCCTCCTCCAGATTATAGCAAATGCCGCTCTTTTCCTGACCGCGCCGGCCGCCCGTACTCACTTTGCTCCCGTGCAGTTCGGAGTAGCAGTAGCAGGGGGGATCGAAGCGGCTATACACACCGCCCGCACGTACCTGGAAGTGCACCCTGCTGCAATGGCACTGCAGATTGACCTCGCAAACGCCTTCAACGCGGTCAAAAGGAGGGCGGTGTTCGAGGGACTGAGAAACAAAGCGCTGAAGGAGCTGATCCCCCTCGTCCGCCTATCCTATGGGGCTCCCTCATCACTTTACCTCGACCACGACTTCGGCGCAGGCCCGCTGCGGAGCGCCAGAGGAGTTTGCCAAGGGGACCCGCTCGGCCCCCTCCTGTTCGCGGCAAGCATTCACCCGTGCCTCGTTGACACGGCGGTGGCACACCCTCAGGTGGTCTTGCTGGTGTACGCCGATGACATCACGTTGCTCGGCAACGCCTTAGCCTGCACAGCAGCCTTCGACCACCTCACTACTGCACTAGCCGCCCTCGGCCTGGTACACAACCCGGCCAAGTGCGCGGCGTGGTCCGCCGCAACGATCGACCCCACTTCAGTTCCCCCGGGAATTACTATCTCTGAAGAGGGTGTGCAGATTCTCGGCAGCCCGGTTGGCACACCCCAGGGCTGCGCGGGCGCTGTGAGAGAGAGAGATTGGTAGTAGCAGCATCCCCACTCCCCCTGCTGGCCCAGATGGACCCCCAGCTTAGTCTCCTCCTCCTCACCCGCTGTGTCAGCCGCAGAGCATCCTTTCTGGCCAGAACCACCCCCCTGGAAGCTCTCCCTGAAGCAAAATGGTATGCTTGGGGGGAGCAGCTCCTACACACCTTCCTAGACTCGGCCCATATCATGAGGCCGAGGAGTGCCCGGGAGAGGCGGAGGATTTGGCGGCACGCGGCCCTGCTAGTGACTCTGGGAGGCCTGGGCATCACTGACCCCGCCGTTGAAGGCAGCTACGCCTACCTCGCTTCAGTGATCAGCGCCGCCCACCTACTACACTCCCTAGCGGACTCGTTGCACCCTACTGTCGCCGCGCTCCTCCCCCTAATGGACCCTACCCACGGCTCTCCGCACGCGCTTCCTACACGCCTCACTGCGGCTGGGGCAGCCCTCCCCCCTGAGGCTCTCGAGGTGCTCCAGGCCGGGAAGGCGGACCCCAAGGGACTGAAGCTGCAGCAGAGCCTAGTGCTGGCGGTTCACTCCCGCCGCTTCTTGAGAGTCATGTGCGAGGCAAGGAGGATGCGCCCCAACCTCCGTTCTGGCCACGCGCAACGGATGCAATCGGTGCTAGGCCCAGGCATGGGGGATTGGCTGCTGGCAATCCCGCTCATCCCCTCGCTCCGGATGGGCCCCTCCCAGCTCTCAACCGCAGCTGCCTTCCGCGTAGGCCTCCCCCTCCCAGTGCCTAGACGCTGTAACTGCCGCTACCGCACCACCTTCCCCGACGACCGCCTCCCCAACCACCTCATGCGCTGCGAGAAGGGGAAAGGGAGGACCGCAACCATCATGCTCTGTGGAATGAGAAAGCGAACATTGGGGCTAAGGCGGGATTTACGGCTCACAAGGAGACGTATGTCTACTCACTGGTTGAAAACCTAAAGACGGATGTCACCATCCGTCATCTCTTGACTGGTGAGGTTTGGATGTGCGACGTGACCGTGACGGACCCGATGTCATACCAGGACGAGAACTGCAACCGAGCTCCTGGATGGGCGGCTAGGGCGGCAGCAGAAAAAAAGAAGGAGAAGTACGCGCGGCGGAACGCATGGGTGGGGTTCCACGCGCTTGCGGTGGAAACTTACGGCTACCCCTCGCCGGGGGTGATGGCTTACCTGTGGCAATGCGCGGAGCTAGTGGCAAATCTGCGGTTTAACGCAGCTCCTACCTCATACGAAGCAGCGAAGCTGCTGACGGAGTACCGCCAGCGCTGGAGCGTGTGCCTCCTCCAGCGGGCGCAGGCCAACGCCCTCCGCACCAAGACCAATGAGGCTTTGGCGGCGGACGAGCTCAGCTTCAGATGACCCATCATCCCTCTTAGCGAGGGACAGCTGCACCAGTTGATTGAAGCCCCGTTCGACCAGTAGGGTCGGACAAGGGGGGGGGGGGGGGGGGGGGGGGGGGGGGGGGGGGGGGCTGAGTAGGTAGGGAACATGAGGTAGTTAGGATGCCGGTTTGGATATTTGTTGTGATTGTGTGTTTGCATCTTCCTTTGTACCACCCCTCAAAGTAATGCAAGGACCATTTGAGAGAGAGAGAGAGAGAGAGAGAGAGAGAGAGAGAGAGAGAGAGAGAGAGAGGATTAGCCCCTCCCCTTCTACCCTCTGCCCTCTACTTTCTGCCCTCTGCCATGACTACTTAAGGCCACGGCGGCCTCTCCATCTCTCATTCTTTCAGTTAGTGCTGAAAATCTTGGTGTTGTTCGAGAGAGCGAGAGAGAGAGAGGATTAGCCTCTCCCCTTCTACCCTCTGCCCTCTGCTTTCTGCCCTCTGCCATGACTACTTAAGGCCACGGCGGCCTCTCCATCTCTCATTCTTTCAGTTAGTGCTGAAAATTTTGGGGCCGCTGGCGCTTGCGTGCGCGGCCTTCGGCCGCGCGTTAGGGATGGCAAGGGGAAACAAAAAGCAGTAGCAGCTTAGGCAACCGATACAAACAAAGCAAGCATAGACACTTAGCAAGTAGAGGATGGAACGGGTCTATACGCGCAAGGGGGGAGCGCCTACATGCGGTCCGCCTCTACCGCAGCGAGCATTCCGCTCGTGTTCAACCACAACTGGCGGACCACAGACACGGTGGCGCCTACAACGTCAACAGGAGTACCAGGGCCTGCTACAAGCGTCCTCAGAGCCAGGGCCGAGTCAGACAGCTGGCTGGCCGAGGTTGCTCCCGGCGAGGGCGCTATATGCAGTGGCGTTACGAGCGCAAATAGCGCTGACGCCGCTATATGACAATCTGCTCGCGGTTTCTGAGAGAACCTGCTCGGAGGGCTCACCGGCATGGAGTCAAATGAGTCCTGGAGAATCCGCTCAAGGCTCTACAGGGATGCCGCCAGCGATCATAGGCGGGCCAGGGTCGCTGTGGGAACTTCCTTCATCAGCGGAAGCAACAAATACGCGCGGGCACGGTGAGACGGCACGACGAGATCACGCGGAGCAGGAAGAGGACGCGGCGGAGCAAACTGAGCCCACGGTGGCCCGCCACCAGCACCTACGAAGCCCATCCCCGCAGGCAGCAGCCGCTTTGAACGCGCCGGGGATCCAAAGGGATTGTGGGGCAGGAGCGCAGAGAGAGGGACGACGGGAGCAGCGCGAGGAGCTGCTGGTGACGCCGACCCAGCACGCGAGCGACGAAGCTCCTTCTCCACGTCATCAAGCCTATCCAGAAGACGACGCTCCATTGCGGACGGCGCTGGACTCGCTTTTCCGCCGCGACTGTCACCACCCCATCGCCCACGACGCGCACGCCCACTTGCGCTCGAGCGCACAGGCGACTGCGGGCGAGATGGGCCCTGCTGACGCTGGCGGCCAGGAAAACGGTCCCTGCAACGAGGGGAGTAGAGCCGTTGGCGCTCTGCAGGAGGGGGCGAACGCGGAGCTGGGGGCTGACGCCCAGACGTCTGGCGGGCAGGCGACCGCTGGCGAGATGAACGAGGAGGGGGCGAACGACGACGATGCGAACGGCGGTCACAGGATCGGCTTCGCGATGCCACGCAACGAGGCGAACAAGGAGACAACGGCGAACGGGCCGCACCGTGACGATCATCGCGGCAGCTCTCCCGCTTATCGTCACGAGCTGCCGATGAGCGACGGCAAGGCGAATGCTCCTGGTGCGCCACAGCCTCTGCGCCGGAGCGCAAGACGGACCCCGTGCGCAGGGGCTCCGGCGGTGACAAGGACCTGCCTGCGCGCCGAGCCAGCTCGCGCTGCTGGACCTCGAAGCGGCGGCGGATCTGATCAGCGGACGCCGGTGGAGCAACAGGTACGCTCGCGGCAGGGCGTGCAGGAGGAAGCGGACCGGGAGCCGGATCGCCCTCCGCGGTGCAGTCGCGGCCCAGAGCACCGAAGAAATCCATCAGCGAGCGCTCAGGGCGCTCCACTGCCACAAGAGGAGCCGACGACGCCGATCTCCCAGGCGCAACAGGCGGCACCTGTGGCAGCCACTCCGAGGAGCGGACGGAGAAGCACGCGGGGGAGAGGCGGGGGTCGAGGAGCGCGCGGAGGACAGCGGAGTGCAGGCCAAGCGGTGAGGGGGAATCCGCGCCAACTACCGAGCCCAATCTGGTTGGGGGAGCCGGCGGAACGAGTCACGCGCCAGTCGTTTGCTAGACGCGGAGGGAGAGGGGGAACGACAGCGCAAGCAATGAGAATCGGTGATACAAACGCAGAAAGGAGCGGCGAGGAATATGTACCGTCAGATCTGAGGCAACCCGACAACCTCGACTCACCTCTCGCGGAAGCGGGGGAGGACCAGGCGTAGAAGCAGGAGAGGGATTCTAGACGCCGACACAACCGCAGACCCCAACCCCCTCCGGACCAAGCCCTGTCAGCGTCCCTGCTGGCATCGAGGGAGGATCTCTTTGAGATCGCGACGAGCTGGGACTCTTCAACCCTAACGTCAACCACCCACCTGCCTATCGTCTGCCGCCTGCCGCCGCAGATACTAAGCGACTACTCCACCTGTATGCTGGCTGCCCTCTTACGGATCTCCAAACTGCCCAACTGCGCGGGAGCGTGGCAGGTCCTCATGTTCCTGCCACGTCTCACCTTACGACTTAGCAGGAGGTCCAGCTCTAAGTGGAAGGTGCTGCGAGAGCAGATGCACCTATTCAGATGTGGCCACTGGAACTAGCTCTACAGTGACTACGTGGGGTCCCTGCACCAAGCTGAGCCACCTCAGCACCAAAACGACCCCCTGGGAATCTGCTCACGTGTGGAGGGGCTGGTGAAACGAGGTAACCTGCGAAAAGCGTTGGCAACCCTTTCACCCTCGCCAGCGGCCCCTGCGATGATCGCAACATTGCGGCAGTTGGAATTGAAACATCCCCAACCCCAAGTTGAGCTGCCCGACTGGGTCCACACCTACACAACACCCACGCAATTTTCTTGCACCGCGGAAAGTTTCTCAGACGTCCTTGGGGATTGCCCCAGCAGAGTTGGGGCTGGTCCATCCAGGTCAACATTTGAACACTACCGCGACCCAGCCCTAAGCAACATCGAAGTGCTGGGGCACCTACACTCCGCCGTAACACATCTTCTCTCCACGAATATTTCCATCGAGGTTGCAGCACTACTCTCACCATCCCGCCTCATCGCCTTCGCAAAACCAGGGGGGGGGGGGGGGTACGCCCTATCGCAATAGGGGAATCCCTACTCCGGTTGGCAGCAAAGGTGGCACTCTCGGAACTGCAAGGAGAAACAAGGCGATTTTTCTTACCTCAACAATTCGGTGTGGTAGTCCCAGGCGGAGCTGAGTTCGTTATACATGCAGTCAGAGACCTCACCACTTCACAACCTTCCAGCCTAGTCCTCCAACTCGACATTGAAAACGCTTTCAACTCCGTAGAGAGGAAAGCGTTCTTCAACACACTCACCAATACCCCGCTAGCATTGCTCATACCTTTCACCCGCTCCTTCTACGCAACGCCTTCTCAGCTGCTAAGCGATCCTCGCTTGAGCACGACGGCACTTACCAGCGGAAGGGGGGTGAGGCAAGGGAACCCCCTCGGACCCCTGCTGTTCGCGGCATCAATCCAGCAACACCTCAGACGCACAACAGCAGAGCACCCAGAAGTCACGATCCTAGCATACGCAGATGACATCACTATGATCGGACCGGCGACAGCAACGCTCGGCGCGCTTAAGTTACTGACGCCGCTGCTCGCCCAGGATGGCCTCACCTGCAACCTCAGAAAATCTTTGGCGTGGTCCACGACGCCGCTTGAGGGTGGCGAGCTCTCCGAGGGCCTCCCACACACCCACGAGGGGGTACGGGTGTTGGGAAGTCCCGTGGGGTCATAGCGCTTCTGCGCTGACCTGGTCCGCAGTACTCTGACAGACGCGGCGACATCCCTGGGCTCCCTAGCATCCATCCATCCACAGCATGCCCTCCTGCTCCTGTCCCGTTGCATCAGCCGCAGAATCGGCTACTTGCTGCGCACCACCCCAGCGGATGTCCTTCCCCTCTCGGAATGGCACGCGTGGTGCGCCGAACTGCTCAACACCGCCCTGACTGCCACCAGCATCCAACCACCCCGCCGCGAAGCCGACTTCAAATTTCTCATCCGCCAAGCAACCCTCCCAGTGGCCCTAGGTGGACTGGGCCTCACGGATCCTACAACAGAAGCAGCACCAGCCTACCTGGCCTCAACGACAGAGGCACTACGCCTGCTCCGCTCACTCGACCTGCCAGCAACCGCGGCGCTAGGGAGCAACAGCAACGCCCTGCAGCCGTCTGCGGCACACTCGGTCACCATCCAAGACATGGAGGGACGACTACCGCCGCTGGCGCTGCAATACCTCCGTGAGGAGCAAGAAACCCCATCCCAAGACCAGCTGCAGCGGGCCCTCTCTCAGGAAGTGCACTTGGCAAAGGCCGACACCCTGACAGAAGAATCACGCTCAATCAGGTCAGCCCCCGAGATGGGCCACACGCTCCGCCTCGTCAGCCTGAGAGGCGAGGGAGCGGGAGCATGGCTGCAAGCCCTACCCCTGACCCCAGACCTCTGCTTCTCACCAAGGCAATTCCGAACAGCCCTGGCCTTCCGCATGGGCATCCGACAGAACGTACCTACCGTGTGCGAGTGTGGAGAGCTCGTGGCCGACTGCAGCCTACCCAACCACCTACTCCGCTGCAGCACAGGCCCGGACAGAACGCGCACACACAATCAGCTGGCCTTTGCCGTGGCAAAAATGGCGAGGGAGGCGCAGCTGGTGGTATACCTGGAGAATGCAATGTACTCACCACCGGATGACCCGAAGAAGGCCGATGTGATCGTGCGTGACCCAGACAGTGGAGAGACCTGGATCACAGACACGACTATCACTGACCCCGTGCTACAGAACCGGGACCCCACAGCCCGCAAACCCCCAGGCTGGGCTGCAAGGGAGGCTCAGAAGCGGAAGGAAAGGGACTACTACTGGCACAGAGAACACGTGGTGTTCTGCGCCCTGGCCGTCGAGACCTATGGGGCAAACGCGCCCCCCACGACAGCGTTCCTGAAGCTGCTGGCCACAGCAGCAGCTAGGAACCGGTTCAGGGCCAACCCCCTGGCGAAATCGGCCAAGAAGATGGCCTGCCACTTCAGCCAGCACTAGTCAGTGGCCCTCCAGCGCTCCCAGGCGAATGCCCTCCACACCAAGGCCAGAGCGGGGATTGAGGCAGCGCACCCCCAGATGGCAGCGGACCCATGGCCGCTGCACCTAGGGGACATCCTCCACACGCTGGAGGGTTAGAGGGGCACTAAGGGGGGGGGGGGGGGGGGAGGGTCAGAGGGATGGGTTGATGGGTCGGAAGGTATAAGGGAACCACGAGTCAAATTGCATGTCTGTACCCCTTGCTGAATTAATACAAAGGACCATTTGAGAGAGAGAGAGAGAGAGAGAGAGAGAGAGAGAGAGAGAGAGAGAGAGAGAGAGAGAGAGAGGGAGAAAGAGAGAAAGTAGAGAGAGAGCAGACACGGCAAAAGTAGCAAGGGTGACGGGCGACAACATTTCCTACGGGGATGCAGTACTACACGCGGCGGAAGCCTACATCGTGTACGGCTCCGCCCCCTCCACCTCAAGCATGGAGCGCATGCACGCCGACATCGCAAGAAGGAGATGCGCCGACGACCAAAACGTGTCCACTGGGGTCCCGCCTTGAGCAGCCCCAACGAGATCCCCCACGTGGCGGGGGAAGGTACGCGCTAAGGGCGCTACCCCAGCGGGCACTTCCAACACGGGTGCCAACGGCGACTCGAGAGATTCTGCCAAAGTCACGCAGGATCCTCGGGACCCTGGACCGTTACTGCTCGGAAAGCTCCGCGTGGCCCCACACACCGCCAGCTGCAGGTTCGCCACCACCTCGCACGCCTCCGCCAGATTCAAAATCCGGCTCATGGTCAGCATGGGGTCTCTCCCCGAGTGAGTGGGGGGAGGTGCATTCGGAGCCTCGTGCGGAAACGCCGTCGGCCAGCCAGGAGTCCGGCCAACAGAGAAGCGCTGCGCGGAGAAGCTCGGGACCTGACGGTAGGGGCGAAACTGAGCCCTCCCCTCTCGCGCGGGCAGGTATTCGCGCAGCGTCGGAGCGCGTAGAGGAGCGACCTGGCCAGGGTCCGCGGCGAAGGGAGGACCGTTGGTCACGGCAATGTGCACGTGAGTCGGCTCCCCACTCGTGCGCGCCTGCTGCACCACTTCCGCAAAGGCATTTGTGGCACGATCGAGGGCAGGATCCTGCCCGCGTCCATTACAGCCACGCCCACTGCCATTCCGCCGGCCACGACGGCCTCTGGAACCAGCCGAGTGCGGACGCAGAGGGGACTGCTTGCGGCGACCCGAATCCCAGCGATGCCCAGGCGACCCCCTCCCCCGCGTCGCCGGAGATCGCCGCTAAGACCGTTGCGCGGGGGATCGCGCTCCGGGTGAGCGCTGGCCTGCCTGACCACGAGGGGATTGGTGGCGAGGAGAGCGATGGCCCGCAGGGGACAGCTGATCGCCAGTGCCGTCCCGGTGATCTTTGCAACGCTCTGGGGAGCGTCGGTGGGGAGATTGCTGACGCGGGTGCTGACGGGGCGGCAAACGCCCACGCTCCTGACGCGGCTGACCGGCAGGTCGACTCGATGCATTCTGAGCAGGGACCCACGAGTACTCCGGCGAATGGGGCTGAGGAAAACGTCGAAGAGGAAGAGACAGCCCGCGCTCCAAGCGGGGGACAGGCTCAGACGCGGAGGGGCGCGCAGTAGCGTGAGGACGAGGAGCAGCAGGCCCCTGAGCTCGGGGCGGGTCAAGCCGGGCACTCTCCGCGGTACTCTCTTGCGCGCGATCGCGACCCGCGGTTGGGTCCATCACGTCAAAGCACGGAGCCACGGATGCCAGCAGCAGTGGGCCGCCAAAAAAGGGGCCGTGGTTCTACCTCTGCGCCTCAGCCAGCACACCGCGACGCAGTAGCAGGCACGACGCCGCGAGGTATCCGCGTGGCTAGAGGTGGGAGACGAGGCGGAAGTAGAGGAGGAGGCGTCACAGCTCAACGACGGGGGGCTAGTAGCTTCGCGAGGGCCGCTCACCGGATCCTGCGGGGGAGAGCTGGAGATGGAGAAGATTCGAGTGATGAAAACAACGTGGGTGACCCTCAATGCCCGGGTCAAGCGGAACACACAGGTAACAGTCACCCTCAACACTATCAAACATAGCATACATGGCAGCAAGAATAGCATCATAGTCAAGATCAAAGATAGCAACTCCCGCCCTAGACAGCTCTCCCCAGCGAGGGATCTCCGAGGCCTCAGGGACTGGTGACGCCACGCGCCTGTCAGGCGGCCGAAGCAGCGCTGGGTGGAGTGCGGGCCCCCGCACTGCTCACCAGCGTGGTCGCCGGTACGGAGGACGTAGGTGTAGGGACCAGTACCCCCACCGCGCTGACGTGCAGCATACCACTCACGAAGTTGCTGAGGGGACAGGGTCTCACGACTGTGCTGCTGCTGCTGGCGCGGACCACCACCGGAGCCACTCCTCTGCGCAAAACCGCAACCAGCTCCACAGTTGCTGCCGCCGCCTCCGCCACCTCCGCCGCCTCTGCCACCTCCGCCACCTCCGCCGCCTCCGCACCCTCCGCCACCGCCGCCGCCTCCACCGCCTCCACTGCTGCCACCGACACCTCCACCCCCGCCACCACTCCCACCACCACTCCCAACCCCTCCACTGCCTCCACCACCACCTCCACCGCCCCCGCCAGCCCCTCCAGCGCCCTTGCCCCCCTTGCCCTTGCCGGTGCGGCGTCTCCCACTAGGGGCAGACGCAGCGCCGACCGACTCGAAACCAACGAGGTCGGCCGCAGCAGCAGAAGCAAGAGAGGGCAAGAGGGGGGAGGGGGAACACCCCTCAAAGACGGGGGTGCGAGGGTCACCATGAGAGTCTCCTACAGCAACTATGCTCTTCTCTGCTGCTAGGAGGCGCTCCTCGAGGAGGTCAACGGTGAGAGTGGTGGGGCAAACTGAGAGGAAGTGGTCCCTGACTAAGCGAAGGGAGTCAGGGAGCCGGGTGACTATGTAGTAGAGGGTGATGTACATGGGGGGGGGGATTCTTGGCACAGAACTCAGCAGGAAGCGCAGCGCGGTAGCGAGTGTCACTAGTGCGAAGGTGCGTAATGAGGTCAGCGACTGTGGGAAAGGCAGCAAGGTCAGGAAACACGTACGCCAGCATGAGGCGGCTAAGCGCAGCAGTGGCAGGGGAGGAGTAGCGTGCAACTTCAGCGTCGTAAAAGGTCTTAGCACTCTTGTACTGGCTAAAGTGCGCATGCTCAGTGGTCGGTAAGTGGCGCACACAGCAAGGCGGGCAGCAGCATCGCGTGTGGCCCACTGTGAGCGAACAGTGCTGTCAGCAGTTGCAGGCGGGGCAGGAGAGACACCAAAGGTGAGATCGAACAGAGAGAGTCCGTCTGCCCTATCGCACTGTAGGAACAGCTGGAGGTCATCGACCCAGACCTCAAAGTCAACAGCACGACCCTCAGCATCAAAGGTAAGAACACTGGGGGTAGCCATGACTCCAGTGGCCTAGTAGGGAGTGATCTCACCAGTCCGAGAAAGTAGGGCCGGGGCGCGCCGGTAGGAGCATTAGGGGCTCGACGGCAGGGCGGCTCGGCGGCATGGCTGCTGGGCGGCTCGGCAACTCGGCTGCTGGGCGACTCGGCGGCTCGGCTGCTGGGCGGCTCGGCGGCTCGGCTTCTGGGCGGCTCGGTTGCTCGGCGGCTCGGCTGCTCGGCGGCTCGGCTGCTGGGCGGCTCGGCTGTCGGGCGGCTCAGCTGTTGGGCGGCTTGGCGGCTTGGTGGCTTAGCTGCTCAACTGCTGGGTGGCTCAGCGGTGAAGGGGCCGCTAGGGGCGGCGACGAGGCCGCATAGGTAGGGAGGCGGCGACGGGGCCGCTAGGGGCGGCGATGGGGCCGCGTAGGGGCGGCGACGGGGCCACTAGGGGCGGCGACGGGGCCGCGTAGGTAGGGAGGCGGCGACAGGGCCGCTAGGGGCGGCAACGGGGCTGCGTAGGAGCGGCGACAGGGCCGCGTAGGTAGGGAGGCGGCGACGGGGCCGCTAGAGGCGGCGACGGGGCCGCTAGAGGCGGCGACGGGGCCGCGTAGGGGCGGCGACGGGGCCGCTGGAGGCAGCGTCAGGGCCGCGTAGGGGCGGCGACGGGGCCGCGTAGGTAGGGAGGCGGCGACGGGGTCGCTAGGGGCGGCGACGGGGCTGCGTAAGGGTGGCGACGTGGCCGCTTAGGGGCGGCGACGGGGCAGCGGAGGGGGAGAGGCAGTGACGGGGCCGCTAGGGGCGGCGACGTGGCCGTTTAGGGGCGTTGACGGCGCCGCGTAGGGGGAGAGGCGGCGACGGGGCCGCTAGGGGCGGCGACAGGGCCGCTAGGGGCGGCGACGGGGCCGCGTAGGGGCGGCGACGGGGCCGCTAGGGGCGGTTACGGGGCCGCGTAGGGGCGGCGACGGGGCCGTTAGGGGTCGCGAGGGGCGGCACGGGGGGCCGTGGGAGGGGCCTCTAAGGGACCTAGACGGAAGTGCGGCCCACAAGGCGCGCCTCGGGCAGAAGCGACTGGCGCTCTGGTCAGAAAAAAAAATTTAGTGGTGGGCTCAAGGAAGCGTTCGCACTAGGGAACCTGCTCTATACCATGTGAAAGAATGAGGAATGAATGAACTAGGAAAGAGGTGGGTACAAGTAGGAAAACCTAGAAGTGTTGTACCCCATATTGTCTACCCCACTACAGCCTACACAGTCTATAGCATATAAGTTTGGCAATATGATGTTAAAAATAAGCAAGTAGGATGAACTATGCAAGGATTGGCCTGCGCTATTATGTGGTGCCGAATCAACAACCGTTTGTTATTTTAAATTAGGCTTCTATTGATCATTCAAGCATCTTCTATATTCTAAGCGTGCTGGGCAGCTTTGGTGTCAATCGATGCGTTTGGTAGGGAGATATGATATTCCAAAGATGCGAGCAGGGAGAACAGTGCAAGGATAGGCCTGTGCTATTACGTGGTGCCAGTTCAACGCCCGTTTGTTATTCTAAACAATGTTCCTTTTCATCACTCGAGCATATATTGTTAGAATGATGTAATTGTCTAGCCTGCAGTGGGGTACTCTATAGCGAGTACAACCCAACTAGGGTTTCCTATATGTATCTCAACTGCTGCTAGTGCAAACCTCTCTTTCTGCTTCTAAGCTTTTCCTCGTAATTGTGACATGCTATCAGAGCCTGACCTTTCTCGGCCTGTGGGCCCACCAACCTGCTTTCGCTACTACTCAATCTGTCGCATGCCCCGTGGCGTGCGACATGCTCTCTGGCGCGCGCCCCGAGGCCCGCGGCCCCTATTCTTCATGGCGCGCCGGCCCCGCTGGACCTGCGCGCCCACCGCGTCGACCCTCGCGTCGCCTCAGGGGACCCGCGCGCCACCCCCGTCGACCCTCGCGTCGCCCTCGGGGACCCGCGCGCCACCCCTGGAGCCGTACGCGACCCCCCCGCTGCCTCGTCGTGGCGCCATGGGGAGCCACGCGCGGCCCCTCGCTGCCCCGTGGTGGCGCCCTTGAGAGAATGAGAACGAGAATGAATGAACTATGAATGAACTGAGTACAAGTACTAACCCTAATTGGGTTGTACCCCTTATGGGCTACCCCACTATGGCCTACAAAATAAGCACAAGCTATATGTTCTGACACACCCCCATAGGCAAAGTGGGGGAGAACAAGGGGTCACAAGACCAGTCAAGCAAAGCAAAGCAAAGCAAGCTCAGGGTGGATCACAAAGTCACCACACAGTCCGAGCTCAAGTTCAAGGCCACAAGGCCAGTTCACATGCAGGAGTACATATATATAAAGGACTAGACAAGCAAGAGCAGGTGAATATATATGCAACAGTACAAGCAAGGTCAAGAGGTGAGCAAGTGAGGCAAGACAGGCACAAGACCCAGCTCCGTGCAGAAGCGCTGATGATCACAAGGCGCAAGTGCCTTGGTGAAGACATCAGCTGTGTTGGCCTCAGAGGCCACGTACGCAAGCCGTAACTGACCACGCTGCTGCAACTCACGAGCAAGAAAGTAGCGGAGAGCAATGTGCTTCGTTCTGTGCTCCAGGCGCTGCTCCCGACACAAGGCTAGCATGGCCTTGTTGTCTACGTACAGCACCGGAGGAGAACGAGGCTGCTCTCCGAGGTTAGTCAGCAGGTAGGTAAGCCAGCGAAGCTCCTGTGCAGCCATGGCCCCGGCGTAGATCTCAGCCTCACAACTGGAGCCGAGAACAGAAGACGAGCGAGTAGCCCGCCACGAAACAGAGTCGGAACCAAGGCTGAAGGTGTAACCCTGCGACGACCGCTGCATAGCCTGGTCGTCTGCCCAAGAAGCCTCCGCGTGCCTAGTGAGGACCACTGGACTCCGCCCTCCAAGCACTAGCCCCATGCCCGACGTACTGCACAAGTAGCGCAACACCCTCTTCGCTGCAGCCATGTGCTTTGGTCTGTGTCTCCCAGGAGCAACATAGCGTGCAAGAATGCTAAGAGGGTATGCAAGGTCAGGTCGTGTGCAGGTCATCAGGTACATGAGGCAGCCAACAAGCTCTGGGTACGGGCCACTCGACTCTACGGACTCATCCGAAGGCAGAGCTGAGAGCGAGTGGCGAGTAGGCAGAGGAGTGGCCTGAGGCGAGGAGTACGTGAAGCCGAAGCGCTGAAGGACCTGCTGCACCATGTGTGACTGAGTCAGGGTAATGGTGCGGCATGCTCTGTCCCGGGTGATCTGCAAGCCAAGGTAGCTGCGCAGTTCACCCAGGTCTGTGCACGTGTGTCTCTTCTGCAGCTCGGACTTCACGTGGGCGAGTCCAGCAGTGTCAGCTGTGGCAAAGACCAAGTCGTCGACGTACACGAGGATGTAGAACGGCGGCAGAGAGGTGTCGCTGCGTAGAAACAGCGACGGGTCAGCAGTAGAGGGAGCAAACCCAAGAGCCGCAAGTGTAGTCCTCAGTGTGTCGTGCCACTCGCGCGGTGCCTGGCGGAGACCGTAGACTGGTCGTCGGAGGCTCCACTGGGTGCCAGGAGGGAAAGTCCCAGTGAAGCCAGGTGGACGGCGCAACCAGTTCTCCTCGTGCAGGCTACCCTGCAGGAAAGCAGTGCTGAAGTCAAGGGAGTGAAGCTCGTAGTCACGCTAGGCGGCTACGTGTAGCAGCACCCGAAGAGTGGTCATCTTCGGGGTGGGAGAGAAGGTCTGAAAGTAGTCAACTCCCTATCATTGACTGAAGCCACGAGCCACGTACCGCGCCTTGAAGCCAGGCGGAGAGCCCGGCGGCCGCTTCACCCTGAAGATCCACATGCCACTGACGATGTTCGCCCCAGGAGGGGGAACCGCGTCAACGTAGGTGCCTGTGGACTTCCAGGAAGCCATCTCTGCATCCATAGCTGCCTGCCACTGAGAGGAGTAGGGACCCTCTACGGCCTCCGCATAAGAGCGCGAAGTCGGGATGTCAAGTGCATCCGGGTCTCCCTCAAGGGCAATGAGCGTGGACACGAGATGAGGCAAAGCAGCAGCAAAACATTTGAACTCCTCCTGCATGTCCTCAAGGACGTCCGTGCTAAGAGCACACTCACCCCCGACGGACGGAGGACAGACAGACTCAGACTAAGCAACAAGACTAGTAGCGTAGTCTAGACGACAGCGAGCAGCAAAGTCGACAAGCTCAGCAACCAAAGCAAGCGCAGTAGTGGACTCAAAGGAAGGGTCGGTGTCAATAGTAGCTAGGAGACGCGTGACAGTAGGACTGGCAGCACGAAGAGAGTCAAACCCCGGGTCAGCAAGGACAGGAAGAGAGGACTCTGGAGGAGACGGCAACGAGACACGCAGAGGAGCAGTGGAAAGACGCAGTGCCATCTG